GTTGAACTGATAAATACAAAATGAGGTGGTCATTCTAGGTAATTCATCTTTTAGCTTCGGTGTAACCATTGGGCGTGTAGAAAATACTAATCGTAGTTCTCCGGCGTTAAAAGACTTTTGTATTGTCCTACGTAATCTCTGAGTTAGTATTTCGCTAGCCACATCCTCTAAAAAAGATTATTCGCAACTTCACATTTTACTGTAGATACGTGGATGACACGTTCATCCTCTGTAAAGATAATACGTCGCCGCAAGAGGTTCTTAGGCGATTTAATGAAGTGAATCCAGCCATTCAGTTTACATCGGAAGTGTAAACAACTTTGTTTGTTGGACAAATGTATTATTGTCTGATATAAGTTCATCTAGAGAACGTGAATCAATAAACTAATGTTATGAGTAATTATCAACTGATTACTTTATATAACTGACCATAATCTTTTTGACCATCATTCTGTTCATTATTTTAATTAACCATAACATTTTTATAACAGTTCTAATCTCTGAATGAATGTATTTCACTATATGATCAATCCCCTTATCAGTAATATATGTCAATTCTTTTTTTTTTTAGGGTTCAATAACGAATGACTTTTTATTATCATGCATATGTACACAATGTGTTATGTGTCAATTAAAAAGAGATATGGATTATGTCATTAAAAATGATGGAGATATTTAATAATTTCTATATAAAAATTCAATATGATCAAATCAAGAATTAAAATTATTTGTGTGATAATCTATTAAAATCTTATATAATATGAGTTAAATATGTGTTAACAATGTTCAATTTTCTTATTTCATTTTAAATAAAGTAATATAGTGAAAAAAATTTTAATTCAATAATTATGATTGATTGGTATTGGTTATTGATTATTATCTTTGGAGTAATTAATTTACGAATAAAATCATTGGATTATGTTGATACTTTTTTTCTGGTTGTACTTCATTTTTGTTTATTGGCTTATTTACAACTATGCACTTCTCTCCCTCTAAATGCAAGTTGTTACTTCAGGACTAGTCTGCGTCAACACCTGAACTAAGGATAGGGAGTGAAATAGTCGAACGCGTTGACAACTTCACTTATCTTGGAAGTTTGATCAGCCCTAATGGGTTTGTATCGGACAAAATCTCAGCACGGATTCGAAAAGCTCGTTTGGCTTTTGCCAACTTACGTCACCTTTAGCGAAAGCGAGATATCCGTCTATCAATAGAAGGACGAGTATACTGCGTGGCATCTGCTGGGATCATCGGGTAATTAATAGTGAGGTTAGACACAGGGTGTTAGGTTTGATGGTAAATCAGTTGATGAGGTTGTGAATATTCATTGACTGAGATGGTTGGGCCACGTGTTACGTATGCCTGAACACCGATTACCACGACGCGCAATGCTAACCGGTGTTGGAGATGGTTGGAAGAAAGTGAGGGGCGGCCAAACCAAAACGTGGTATCAGTGCTTGGAGTCACTAACTTCTAGTCTGAGCCATGTTGGTAGATGCAGACTACTTGGTTGAGGTCCGCGTGACTATCGTAACCAATGGTTGGAGACTCTTGGTGACATGGCTCAGAATCGATCACAATGGCGTCGGTGTATACACTCCCTGTCTTCCCTTAAACTAAGAGATTAAAATTATTTCATATCTTCCTTTCTACGAACTAATTCTTTCTTCATGTACTATGTCCTCATATGCAATCTTTCTTTTATATAACCACCTCTGAATTAACTACTATGAATTCGATGTTCATCTTGTTGCATTAATGAGGCGTGGCAACTTTAACCGATGTATATATGTGCCTGGTCCTACGTTGTAGCTGACTGACTGACATTTACTACTGAGTAGGTTATATTGTTTTTAAAAAAAACGAACATAGAGCAATAGATTGTATCCATATTTTATTAACAGATACATAGAATTTCAAGCCGATATTTTTTTTCAGAACTAACTGACAATATATGCAACCTAATAAAAAAGAATTTTGTAGAAGTACAAGAAAGAAGGGAGATCTGATTCAGATATACAGGCAAGGATTGACAAAGTAAGGGCAGCATTTTTACAACTAAAAATATATGAAACTCAAAACAACTGTCAACTAACATCAATGTCATCATCTTCAATACGAACTTTAAGACAATTCTCCAGTATGGAGCTGAGACGTGGAGAACTACCACAACCATCATCTAAACAGTACAAGTATTTATAAACAATTATCAAAGTAAGATACTCATTTTTCGTTTGCCGGATACTATCAGCAACAGCCTACTGTGGTTGAGGGCAAACCAGCTTCCAGCTGAGAAGAAAATTAGGAAAAGACATTGGAAATCGATAAGACACACATTGAGGAAATTATCAAACTGTATCACGAAGCAAGCCCTAACTAGGAATCTTGAAGGAAAAAAAAAGGAAGTCCAAAGAACACACTGAGTCGAGAATCAGAAGTAGACAACAAAATAATGAGTAACAGTTGTTAACAAATGGGAAGGATTACCCATGACAGAATTAAGCTGAGAATATTGGTGGATGGCCTATTCTCCTCCACGAGGTATAACAGGCGTAAGTAAATAAGTAAAATGAAGCAAACAAATTATCTGGTTTTATTTGACTACTTGATTAGGAAGGATTTTTCAACTAATAAAAATTTCGATTTAGTTTTCATGATGTAACGACATTATTATTTCTTAGATTTATTGAAAATGGAGAACAATCGAAAAGCTAACACGTTCTAGTATGAAATAACTCAAATGTGTTGAACCATATGTACATGACATACATATACACATTCTATATCAGATAACAGTTAACAATCAAAGAACACAACCAAATCATTATTACATGTTTCGTTGGTGGAGAAGATTTGTAACTCAGGTGGATGATTTCGATGGAGTTTTGTTTTCTGAGCTGGATGGTTTGTTCACAGAACAAAACACCATCAAAAACATGTTTCAGTGTTAACTAAATAGATTTATTCACTTTAGATTTGTTGATTGCAAATATTTATATAGGATAATATGTTGATACTATTGTTTATGGACCACTAGGTGTCCACCTAATAACCAGGACCAAATAAGGGTCATAAACCAGCGTGAGAAAATAGTGTAATGAACAGAACACGAGTAGGGACAATCAAATGTACTCAACTCAAATTACAGGACTTGTTAATAAAATCTAACAATCATAAAGTAAATGCTTAATTTGCAAAATGTCCACCAATTGTCTCAAAATGATTCAGACTTCATTGTTCTTGCATTTTCATACAATTTGCATCCTGTTATCATTCTTTACTGTTCGATCCTCGTGTCTCTCTGCTGCCAAACCTTCTGTTCACGACTAACATCATATACTACTTATGTCAATATAAGTAGCACACACCACAATAGAATTATGATTTATAGTTGATGATTAGGGTTAGAAATTAGATTTAGGGTTTTCATTACGAACTAACATCAGCTATAATGCCAAAACTCTATTTATCCGAGACCTGTTATCTTATACGTGATTGGTTCGTCCATAAATTATAGTCTCGCCGATAAAATAGAGTTTCCAGAAAAGTGAATTATAAATATGATGGTATACTTATTGTTTCATGTTTTATATCAACAAATGAGTTTTCCTAAGTATGAATTATTTAATTTCTGAGTGATTGTTATTATAAGTTAGAAAATATAGTCTTGTTCTTTAAACAAACTGAGCTCTGTTAAACTTCTGCTGTTGTGCAACTTTTGGGAAGACACACTCAAAATTTAATTAGTAAATATATTGTAGTGTCGGTGACTATGTTAAACTCACATAGCTTATTCTAACTTCTGGACAGGCCAATTTTTTCGATTCTTCATGAGTCATGGTTTGACATTGTTAAATATTCAGTTATCAATCTTGACTGTATTTATATGAGAGCATGTGTGTGTACATTTTATCCTACTGATCACATATCTGTAGCTTGTTTTTGAGTGACTATAAATATTGATTAATGCATGAGTTGGCTCATATGCCCTCTCCAATGCGCGTCATTTCGCTTCTCTCTCTTCTATTCGTTTCATCCCTCTTATTTCCTGTTCAGATCAGTGAGTGTAGAAAATATATGTATTCATAAATCCATTCTCGTATTTGACTTATTCAATTCTGTTATTTACCTACGCGAATTAAGTCGATGATTATATACAATGATTGACGATATGTGTACTTCGACAACATTCATACGATCTAATTGGAGTTTGATATCGGGCCACTAAAACGTTATACGGATTAGTGGATTTTTCGCTTTTATTAAATAAACTTTATAATATAAAATTTACATTTTTAATTTAGATTAATGAAATATCAATTGTTGTATCTTGAATATAAATAATTTTCAAGTAATTAAACATAAAGTGTAAATTATTTCTAATACGATGGTTTGGTCGTGAAGGTTTTATTGTCCTTTTAAAAAACATCATCTGCAAAAACCTCGGACAGAAGTGAAGTATTCAAATTGTTCCATATATGACTGATAGCTTGCCCTATCGAAATCGATCTACCTCTTCAAATATATATATATCCGACTAAACAAATGTACATCAGACGTTCATTAGTGACTAGTGTTGAGATGAACTCCTAGTGTCTAAGTGAAAAGTCTTGATGAATGAGTTGAAAGAAGCCATACTTACAAAATTAGTTTATGAATAGAAATAATGATATTCATGGGTTTATGTGTGACCGTACTACTTTAAAAGCAAACTCAAATTAGTAGGGAAATTTGTAGTTAACCTATCAGGAAATGACGAATAATCTATCTCTTTTATAGAACCCTGTTGTATTGCTTTATTGAGCGCTGATTGGAAAAAGTATCTTCAGACTTCTTTCAACTTTTTTAATACATTTCAGAGAAGCTCTCGACAACTGTTGAGAATAATGAACACACACACATGGTATAGTTTAAGCAAAGAATAGTCTACATAGCTTTCACATTTATTAAAAAAGAAACTACCGTGCTCAGTGAAAATACACAAGTCAAATACTTATTTTACCAAAGATTTTTTATTTTTTATAAACAACTCTTAATCATGTATGCACACTATAACTATTCCTTTTTAACATGAAATTAGTTTATGTTATAGAACGTTCAAGTAATCAAAAAACAACATTCTTCGAAAGAAGATTGAAATATTCCATTTTCCGATTGATTATATTTACCATAATTAAAATTTATTAAGATTCCATATATCTCATATCTCGCCTCAACTGGCATAAAACAAGTTGAGGACAACAACATGTAATAAAATGATCATCAAGTAATGAGCCCTAATAAAATAGAAATTATTAAAATGAATAATTATCAATAATAATATTGGTAAATTTAAACAACTGAATAATCAAATATACCCACTAAGAGTCTAGAAGCACCGGAATGACGAATCTCTCAAGTACAAGACCCTTAAACAACACACATTCATGGACATCATCGAGAAGTAGACTGAGGGCATCAGACTCATAGAAACCTCTAGGCATGGTGAGTCATTCATATGTACAACTGAGAAGTTTCATGCTAAGACAAACTGGTTATCTAGTCCTTCCTACTTTGCAGTGCTTGTCAAAATAAAAACCAACCAGTAATGTAAACTATGGAAACGTCACATTCTTCACAAACCCTTTATAATTATTAAACATCAGTTTAAACAGTTTCGGAATTGAATGTACTATATAATAGCTAAGAAATTTATCGATATTATTCGAAACACAGTAGTTGATATTGTTTATAAGCTAACATAACAAACATCAATAATGGAGAAATACATTTAATGGATCATATTACATTATCTAATGCGTTAACACAAAGTTAATGTAAATAAATAAATAAATATACATAATATCTATTTACAAACTTTGAACAATGTAAAATTTAGTTTTGTGATATAAAAAAATGAAACGGATCTAGAATTATCACATGAAGTCTAATCGGATTTTTTATATTTAACTGATTATTATATTATTTCTATTTTAATAATATAGTAGTATATACTGATTAGCTTTATTATATAGTAGTAGATAAGTCTTTGTTAATATATTTTATTGTGTTATGAATCTATTTACCCTGGTAATGTTTAGTGTAATTAGTACATAATTAATGGTAAAAATTATTAAACATAAAATAATAACAATCCACAGTACATTGTAAGACTATCATAAAAATCTCATCTAGTTTCTGTTCAAGTTTCATTAAAATGTGATGTTGTTTTAATGAACTTCCAATATTCATTTTTGAATGTGAATAAAACATTTATAAGAATAATTTAGAAGTATTTTTGTTAAATTACTAAACTCAGATAATATAAAGTGAACAATTATAAATCAAGCATTATTTCTCAATAATAGTCGGGTAAGACACATGAAGATTCTATGTCTATTATGTGTACTTTACGCTAAAGTAATAGTACTGTATTATTTTATGTATAGTTTAGATTACAAGCGTGGAATAGGTACTGTTTTTCAGTTTGATATTTGGATTACAAAAGGTTCTCGAGTATGTTTGACTTGCGTTTCATCCCTACGCATTTGGTTTAGATTCACTTTCAATATCTCTTTCACTAAACATATCTACTATCGTAAAACACCAAATACAAAGTAACTACAATTTTATTTTACTGGAATGGAGCTGTTTATTTTATATAAATGAAAGTGTTCTTCTTCTTTACTATCGAAAACGGTGTGCCCCAAGGAGTTTTCTCTACCTCCCCCTATTGGTGTCCTGTTAAGTGAATGCTTCAATCTCTTCTACTAAATTAATCTCGATAAATATCTTATTGATATGACTGTAGTTATATCAATTTTCTTCTCGAGGTAAAAATGGCGGTCTCTTCTAAATGCTTTTACACTCAATTTCTTAACTTCAAACTTAAACCTGAAAGAAACTGACCATTCGTGATTATTAATGATTTTGCAACAAATAAATATCCCAAATGTCATTATGTAGGCTGTTCTTCTGATCTAAGCCTATCTCCACATTATTTGTTAATATCGAAGGAAGTTTTCTGTCCAAATTTTACTCATAAATAGGTTATGTGTCTTCAGATTTGCCGAATACTTAATTGTTGTATTCCTTTATATTATTTGTGACTATCATTTATGAATAGTCACTGAACTTACATGAAACATTTTCATTAGGTTGTGTAGGATATTAAACTTTATTTGTGCAACCAACGGTAAATCTTCGGATTTCATCATGAGTACGGCTGAGAAAAATTACTAATCATCATTTTACCAAAATAAACTATTAACTTCATGAATTTCTCCTCGTGTATTCTATTCCAAAACGAGATACAATTTTATTAAAAAACATTTATATAAACAATAAATTTAAAACTCGTATGATATATATAGATAGTCCTGTTGACAACATCCAACCACCATCTTAATAGTGAACTATTTTGTAAAACAATTTAATGTACTTTGGTGAGCAGATTAAGAGTAGTTTGACTTGAGGAATATACCTTTTAACATGTTTAACGAAAATAACGGTTACCCTAGAAGATAGATCGTTTAGACTGATATATTAGGCTTTACTATTTATAACAGCATTCCTTGTGCGGATGTACCTTTCAAGATTCAGTTTTTTAGACAGTACTTTCTTTTCCTTAATGAAAGTTATTTGAGCTAAGTATGGAGCCGAATACTTCCTGTTTAAGATGATAAATGCATTTGGATATTCATTTTAACCTGCTGTAATCTCATTACAAGTACTAAATCTTCTATACTCTCCCCGCTATATATAATATTGTTAACATTCAAACAAACTGATTTAAACGAATTCCTTACACTTATGCACTGGAGCATTAATTCATACAGCCACATGGTGACTTATTACTCACCTTGACAGGATATGTCATATTTCTTCGTCCAAAATACATCTTAAAAAACATATATACATCTGAAAAACTAAGTCCACGACACCACAATGACAAAAACCAGAATTACTAATAGATCAGTAAAACGTACATCTATGTTGTGCTTGATTCGATGTTTAATACGTAGAGGAAGAACACCAACTCCAAATAAAGGAAGCCAACAGGCCTCATTTGAAATGCTATACATATGACAAAGATAACATGGATAACAAAATCCTGCACAAAGACCTGTAAACACAAAGCACCATTTAAACAACAAATTTGATATATTTTCTAAAAAAATATTGAAGGTGTTTAATTTATGACTGAGTATTAGTAGTTTTATTTCCAAATCGAGAAAATATGGCACTGATTAACATCCACTAATCAATCAATGTAAAGCTCTCAGTTATACAGAAGGTTGATCAAGGCACAACTAACTCATTCGTAAACCTTTTCATTATGACATTAAGTTACATGGGTTTGAAGTCACAGTGAACATTAGCACCCTCAGGATTGAAAGCATACCCAACTGAAAATCGATAACTAGGTCGATACCTAGGTACACAACTCCTTGTCACTTGTATGTAAACATTTATTGTATTCTTTGGAAAGTGGGCCACTGAATGTTGACTGAGTGGTCTAAAACTAATGCATCAGTACTACCATCTATAAATTCCGGGCCTGTGACGAACGCGAACAAGATATTGAATAGTCTCTCATTACTGCAATAAACTTAGCTGCGTTACTTTACTAGTGGTTGAAAAACGAACTGAAAATCTTCTTTTCTTATACTATCGCCTAATAAGAAGAAACATAATGCAACAATCAGCAATAATACATCCGATTACATTTTAAATTATTGGATTCTTAGTTAGTACCAGTGTTTCTATTTTGAAAAAGGATAGATTTTCAATCTTCCATCGACAAGCAAAATCATCTCAGTAAATTATTATTGCTTACATGATTCACAATCATCGAAACAGCTACAAATTCCAGAACTCCATCCTCTCGTTAGGAAATATCCTTGTTTAGGTTGCTAAAAAATGAAATTGATCGTGATAAATCAAAGTCGCGAAAACGGCTAAGGCATATAAATACACAACTGATTTACTTAATAAGTCTAGTTTTGTTAACATACTTTTAAAATACCAAAATGCGAAGATACTCAAACTTTGATTGTTGCATTTATTGCAATAGTAAATAGTGGAAATCCTCTAAGTAAAATCTAAATCCACTCATTTCTTTCGAAATATATGATATAGCTTGTGAACCTGATTGACAACAAAGTAGTTGGTGCGCTGTGATGTTCATTTTATATTATATGAGTATATGATATGTTTGTCTGCTCACTGAGCATAATATCTTAAGTCACTTAAGCACTGGCCGCACGAAGTAAGGCAACTGATTAGATGAGTTGAGTCTATGTGAATTCCATAGTGTACGATGGTTTTGTTTTTCACTCTAGTACATATAACGCAATTAGTTCACAAATGAACACTCGTGACTCAGAAAATTCGACCCTATAGAGTTGTCTAAAAGTATATGATAAAGGTATTATGGCTGAATTTCCAAGATATATAGCTTCTCATTAAACTATTTCGAACTACAAATTAATTAGATTTAGGGTTTTCATCACGAACTGAGATCAGCTGTAATGCCAAAACTCTATTTATCCGAGACCTGTTATCTTATACGTGATTGGTTCATTCATAAATTATAGTCTTGCCAAAAGTTTAAGATGCCTTGAAGGAATACTTGTCATCAACCCATTTTGTAATTATGATTTTTAAATATCACAGGTCGTAAGCAGATGAAAATCAAGCGAAATCAAATGAATTCATGCTGTTGTGTTAGAATCTCTATTTTTTATTGGTTTACAATGATTGTTTAGTGAAGTTTAGTCCTTCATGTAAACGACCACCTTGTGAAACTGAAGAAGACTTACACTCGACAAAGCTAAACTTCAAAATCTCATCTCGGTATCTTTCAATGGTGTGCACTAGTTTTAAACTGGTTGACAAAAAGTTTGGAGACTAGTTTAATGTCAGTTTAATAACATCAACCTTATTCCAATCTGAAGCTTTTATAAATCACAAAATCCACATACATATGGCTGTGTCAACGTCACATAACTAATAAAATAATATTTAAGGCATTTTATGCGCAGGGAGAACTTCAGTATTTGAATCATGGAAACATATACAAACATTTCTTATCGCTTACTAATACTGACAGAGGCTGCTGTAAAACAACAACAGTAGATTGTTCGTTTGACCGTACTTCAACCATTGTTAGTTGATTTATGTTAAGAGCATTGTCAGAGTTTATATATATATATATATATATGTTCGCGTTTGTCTGCACACTTATTTCATTAAATGTCTGTCCCATTTACCAAACACCGTTTCGGTTATATTAAAGCTTGTATTGATTTCTTTTAATTGGTTGTCATACTAACTTCAAGGTGTATCTGTTTGCTCTTCGATAACGTGATTGTCTGTTTATAACTGAATCCATGCTTGAAAGAAATGTATCACTACAAAACTTCTCATTTCCTGCTGTGATCCAGACCAGTTATGTAGTCACTGTTTCACTAATACCGACTCTTTTTATTACAACTTGATTGGTTCAGTCTCATGGACAGTGTCTTTTTTTATTGGGTGGTTCTAGTCAATTCTGGATATGGTCTCCCGGGAGCGGGGTCGTTGATGCGCATTGCTAAGGAGTCCCACATTAGGACGAAATAGCCACCCAGTGCTTTCAGGTTTTCCATGATGATCTAGCATTATTTGACTCATGAACTCAACTATTGAATCACTATAATCTCCATAAAACCCCCCATTTTAATAATTTTGGAATATATCAAAAATTATACTTTGGATAGTAGTATAGTTAAAGTTTGATGAATTTATCGTTAAATGAAATGTATAACAGTTAATCACTTGTAACATTATGCCAGAATAATGTTACTTTTAAAAATTAATTATAATACAAGCTAAATATCAATGAAAACTAACTGAATATCTTAAGTAAATTACATTCACAAAGATTTCATTCAGTATGTCTTATTATGTTTTCTCTTTGTTTTTATGGATATGATTATGAATACAGTGGTCTTGAGTGCTGTTAGAGATATGACGGTGGTCATCACTTCCCGGTTGCCCACACCGTGGAAGGGTTCTTCTGGAGGTACCTGAAAACAAAATTGGATTAGAGGTGGTCTTAGTGACCTGAGGGCGTGACCGCAGTGCCCAACGGACAACTGCTTGAGGTCGGTCACACACGACCTTTTAATGGGTAATTTTTGTGTTAGCTCCGTACTTGTTGAGACCTTACCGCCGGAGATGGATATCCGTGGGATAAGGCGAGGTGTGCACTTTTAGGTTCGACCGTTTCTAACCCCACCCCTTCTTGTGGGAAGGCAGCATCGCTGTCATGCTGGTTGTCTGAAGGAAACACCTTTCTGCTGTCACACCTCTGTACAGTCAGTAGTACGACTTCACCTTCGGACCTTAAGTTTGTTGCTTTTAGTCTCACCGCTCTTCAACCGACCTGTCTGACATGGTAGGACCTTGAGGAACGGTTATTCCAGGAGGTATGGCTAAGTTGCTTAATCACGACGGCCAAGCCCGACCACGACGTCAAGGTAACAACAACGGTCGGGTGTTTATATGGATACGAAATTCATTATTAAAAAAATTACAATCTAATAATAAAGTCTTAACACCAGTTTTTTTCTTGACATTGATTTATGTACATTATATCAGAAATACTTTTTACTCATTAACATTTATACAAAGAATAATATTTCATAATTATGTTTACAAGTTTAAAAGTATAAAGCATTTTGTAAAGGAACAGTGAAGAACCTAAGATTATGAAAGATCATTTTAAAATTGATCTAATGAAATGTAGTTTTATCACATTACAATAGATTATTACTCTTATGGGTATACTAAATAATCATTTTCAATGAAATACAGTATATTCAATTGCTAAGTAACCTTTAACATATCAACAATCATAACGACAAGAACAACAATAAGAACAAACAAGGGGACAATGTAAATTAATATGAGACTATTTTTCCCAATATATAATCTTTATGCTTCATAGTTATCAAATACTGATCTAGTTATAAATTAGTTCTGAAAAGAAAATATATTTAGAATGTTACTAATTAACTTTTATGTACCTTAAATGTTTACGGAAAAAAAAACAAAAAAATTAATTTAACATCATTTTGGTGGTGGTGGTGGTGATGGTGGGATAAACTTTAAGCTACTGTTTCGCCCAGAACTATATTTTTTGTGTGTTTCTGATCCAATATTACTTATAAGTAGATATTATCTACACTTCTAAAGTTTTATGTTATAAGGTAAATTTCTTTTTTTTTATAACCAAAAATAATAATGATAATAATATAATTATTTACATGATGGAATAACTCTAGTTATTTGATAAAGTTATTCAAATATTGTTCGATCGAATATTTTCTTTATAGTAAGAATGAAACATTAATTCTATAAAGAATTAAAGTAGAATGTGCAATGTTAGTCAATATCTATCTAGTAACAAATTCTATGAAATATCTATAATTAAAGGAAGAAAAAAAGATAAGAAAATGTTAACCGAAAGTATGAAATGAAATAAATCATTGTATTAAGCTTCTCATTAATACATGTTCTTAATTGTTTCTAAATAAGTTCATATATGCAGAAGATTATGTAAAGTAAATATAATTACAATATCAAGGTTTGTGATTAATCTGATGTACTGTAAAGCATTTGTAGTATATAATTGTAGTTAATAGAAAATGGCTATCCTCTAAAATTCATAAATAGATGGAAAGTCCATGGTACAGCGAGACCTATCGTAGCCTCAGTAGAGAAAAAGCCTGTCTACATCACCTTACAATTCAGAGGTGATTCAAATAGCCTTTTATTGAAACAACGACTTAAATCAGTCATCAATAAAACTTATTGCGCAGCCAAGGTCATCATCAAAGAAAGAACAATGTGTATGCTTCATTCAAAACCTAAAGTACATGAAAACGATTGCGTCACATCCCACTGTGTTTACCAATTTAAATGTGTGTGTAGTCACACATACATAGGGAGGAGTAATCGTGATCTCAACATTAGGGTGAGTGAACATGTACCCAAATGGCTTCAGAAACAAATACAATCCAATAAGAGCAGAGGATAAACATCCATCATCCTCTATTGCTAAACATATAATTGAAACAGGTCACAAGATTGATCTAAATTCAGCTTTTGTAGTGCTGTATGAAAGTGTAAAAGGGCGTATACTAAGGTTTATTGAAGCCTTAGCCATACGAAAATTCAGACCCCCTTTGTGTGTTCAAAAACAGTTTGTTCTTACCTTAAACCTACCCTGGTAATATTGACTTATTATCCAGAGTGATTAGGTTTCAAATTGTGTTCACATTATTATTATTATTATTATTATTATTATTATTATTATTATTATTACTCTTATCATTATCCTTATCTCCTCTTACCCCGTTTCCTGTCTAGTTGACCTTTTATTTTTTATATATAAATGCTCTTAACAAGTATATGTGCGACCAGATTGTTCGAAATGTATTGCGCTAATATATCACATAGTTCTGATAATCTTCGTCTTCTAATATCATTATCGAAATTGTAGTAAAGCCAAAGCGTAAAACTTCAATATGAAGAGAAGTTTTATTAGTAGGCGTAATGATAAATGTTAAATTGTATGGGGAATTTGTGGAGATTGTAGTATTTTAAGAGTTGAATTCACGAGTCAATCTAAACTAGACTACCATTAAAAACCTGAAAGCAATGGACGGCCGTTTCATTCTAGTATGGGACTACTGAGTAGTGAGTATACACGGCCCCTCAGTGACCGATTCAGTCCAAGTCCAGGGTGTAAGACAGTTGTCCTCCTGAGGCAATGGATAGAATGTTGAGTAAAATCATGGGTTGATTGAAGTTAGACGTTAACACCACTGGATGTCGACTCAGTGGTCTTGGTTTCAAGCGTTTACGTGCAAGACCGAAGATCCTGGATTAGAGTCCTTCAGATGGGTAGTGGACGCTCGCTGCTGCTTCCAGGTTTTCAGTTTGGTCTGGCTTAGATCGACTCGTGATTCCAACTGTAAAAATATTTATTTATTTATTATTTTCATAACTGAATTAGTGAACCGCGGTATGATCGTTGGTGTATGCATTTGCTAGGCAATATCAGAAGATGGACAAATGGCACAAAAGAATCTCTTGTTTCACATTCATTATCATATTTCGATGAACGAAAGAAATAACTCTTAATTTAATTAAGAGTTATGTGGTTCCTGGAATTGTGATTACCATAATTTAGCTTCCTTTTTGAGGAGATGGTTTTACTGGACAGTACTCTGAGGAGTATATCGGTTAGTATGCAGTCTTACTGGTGTTTGTAAGGCTGCTTAATGAGGCAATAAGGCAGAGTTCCTGTGAATTAAGGATCGAGTTCGCTGTAGTAACGAGAATGAAGTTGGAACTGAGTTATGATTTGGTAGGAAGAACCTAATCGATCTGTATGATAAAGGCTCTTTCGATAGATATGTTTCATTTTGTAGGCGAGGAGAAAGATTTGACACTAGTCGTATCTCCTTGTGTGGTAGAAGGTGGCACACATCTTGGACTATACGAATGTTCATGACTAACACTGTCTAGTCAGTGAACCTTCAATAAATTTCAGGTTCTTAAAAGGAACATCAAAAACATAATAGTATTATCGTAGTGAACAAGAACATGGGTGGGGACAACAACAACAACAATTACAGACTATCTCAACAAAATCCGAATACCATATAGTAAATCGTCAATTTGCAAAATATTCATGCATCAAACCGAACTGGACTGTTTCTTTTGCAAACACCAATCCACTGTCTCCCAATCCATTGCCTCCCATTCCATTGTTCATGCATTTTTCTTACAAATTCCATTGTGTTCTTGCTCTACCTTTCTTGATCTTCGCCATCTTCCACTGTCAGACATTACGTTCTTTTAACGCACGTTATATACTACTTATATCAATATAAGTAGCTCACACCACATTATTAGTCAGTAGTTGTCTTGTAATTATAAAAATGAGAAGAGATTACTATTGACATTGATCATATATAATTTTCAAATAAAGAAAAACAAACAAGAAAACAGTAAATTGAAACGAAACGGAAACACAAGTAACAAGTAGTTATATAATTTGGACCAACGCTACCGGGAAATATCATCAGTTATGTCTAACAATGCGTGCTATTTTCATATATAAACTGAAAATCACCAACTAACACAAAACCTAAATCCAGGGTCTTCCGTAGATCTCCTCCAGTCAATTAACATAGATTGCAATATATAACAAATGTCTTAAGAAAGAAACATATTTGATCAAGTTTAATTAATAAA